TAGATATATGTCTTATACACATGTAATGAACAGACAGTATATGAATGTGTATGTATATGCAGATAGCTTTATATGTATAAGTGTGACTGAATGGGTACTAGACTCTAGACTGTCAGTACTTCGGCGATATACTCACATTAACCTACCATGTAGGTAAATGGACTTCTAGCTCGGGCTTGCATGTTCTGGGTTCATTTGTTGGGAAGTCCCATAACCATATCATAGGGGCCTTAATAACTAGAATAGGGTTCGGGGGTATATTATACTATAATCATGATAAGGAACCCCCCAAACCCTACTAATTATTAAGGCCTACATTACCCAAGTTGCGCTAAGTGGGCCATGGAAGTCCTCCAGGTTACCTGCCCAGCGTCCTGTAGCATCATGTGGATGCCAAGGAAGTGCGATGCGCAGTTGAACCCACTTTGGGGAAGCATATCACTACCAAAACTATTCCTTACGGTTCCTTCATATAACCACATACTAAGATAACTATATACTAGAATGTACTCCCAACTTCGACTACAATTAAGGCCCGTCTATGAATTCAAACTCTAGATCAGAGGTGGAAGGCAAATCCCCCTGAGCCTCATTCACTCTATGGCACTATGGTCACAATCAGCCCGCCAGAAGCCCCGGATGGTATGGTTTGCATGCATTAAGTCTTTGGATTGAGGCAGGTGGCATTAAACCCTGAATCCTTGCGGCTGAGGGTTTAGGTCTTAGCGTTGGCACAGTTGTCCACACTCTCACATAGAAATTTGGGTGCCTGCACAGAAGGACGATTCGAACTCACAACTTTGCGAAGCTTCAGCAAGCGATGAACCACCGAGACGAAGTCTAATCGTCGTAAGTCGCTCCGGAACTGTCTCTCAGACTTCCATTCTTACGTGTGAGTCGCAGGTTACGAAATAGATAATGCAGCCGCAACACCCATGCAGTCATCCAGTACAACACGGTGTAAGGCTTTGGACAAACAAAAGCAACAGGGCCTTGCAGCCGAAAAGCTGCGCCCCAGCCCCAAGCAACCTCGTGTGGACACTGCGCACGCCGCAAGGGAAGTACGCTCAAAGCGTCTCCCCTCTTTTTTCTGTGCCCTGGCAGAAGCCGATAAGCAAATCGGGCTGGTCGCGCGATGCTTCCATGCATCATGGCGGGACTCATGCAGTTTCCACAGGTAGGGTATGCGCTTCGGACTGCTATTGACCAACCACGACGACGACGATGACAACAACAACAACAACAGCTATAACTGCTACAACTATAACTGCTACAACTGCTATTGGTACTGCTTCTACCATCACCACCACCACGACTACCACGACTGCTGCTGCTACGGCTGCTGCTACTACCACTACTACTACTACTACTACTACTACTACTACTACTGCTACTGCTACTACTACTACTACTACTACTACTACTACTACTGCTATTGCGACTATTATTATTACTACTACTACTACGACTACTACTACTACTACTAGTAGTATTTTTATTACTACTACTATTATTGCTGCTACTACTACTACTACTGCTACTACTACTACTACTCTTGCTAGTAGTACCAGTACTACCACTACTACCACCACCACCACCACCACCACCACTACCACTACCACTACCATTGTTGCTATTGCTACTGCCGCAGCTACTGCTACCGCTGCAGCTACTGCTACCGCTAGTACTGCTGCAATTTAGAAGACTAGTAAGACTAGAGGAACGGAGGCGGAGGGATGCACCCCGCACATACAGCACAGTCTAGTTGACAGATGCGGGGAACTAGGAGGGTAGATGGTCAAGCAGGCTGGCCACAGACGTAGTTCGATTTGTCCTTCCGTGCACGGAGTTCATGGCCTTAGCATAGAGCTATAGAGAAGTGAAATGGTTTCATTGCCGAGTCTGTTGTACTTTGTCATGAGTTTATTAAGGTTTGACCTGTTGTTTGGTGGGTTTGAGGGCAGAGTTTGTGGTGAGCTTGCTTAGCCACTTGTGCTTGTATGTTGCTGTCTCTTCTTGTCTGATCCAAAAAACGCTAAACCCTAAACCGTAACCCCTAAACCCCTAAACCCTTAAGCCCTAAACCCCCGAACCCTAAACCCCCAAGCTTCCTAAACCCTAAACCCCTGGTCTCTATTGCTGGGCGATGGCAGCAGTCTGCTGTTTGCCAAGCCTATACTTTCAGGAGTTAGGGTTTAGAATTTCAGCTTGAAGGTCCAATTACCACCATCGGTTCAAGCAGCCGAGTTTCTCCATGTCGTTTCTGATTGTCTGGGGTCTTATGATAATATAGAAGCCTGAATAATTACCAAAATTATTCGTCCTTAGGGCTCCTGATTATCATAGAATACTACTAGAAGTACTGGTTGCTTGTGTTTGTACATCGATCCGCCCGATTTCGGCGTTTCGGAGTGAGGGCTGTTCTGCCTACAGACCGTATTTGGGTTAGGGTCTTTCGGGCCATTTGGGGTCGTACGTTGCCAGTTGCGTGATCTACCGATGCTTCATTCTGCACAGGCGTTTTCAATGCGGAAGCGGAAGATGCGAAATCAATCTGCAATTCCCTGAAGCTCAAAGCAAAGAAGTGGCAGCGCGGCCGGCAAAGGAAGAGCTGAAACGAGGTCATAGGGCTTAACGGCATGAATAGGTCGGTCTTTATCGTTAATATTGTCATTTTTCCTTAAAGATCCTCAAATTATTCTACATTCTTTCTTTCTTGAAATGTATGATATTTATATCATATTTCATATTTAATTTTACATGAATTTATAATTAGAAATCTGGTTATTTCAATTATAATAGGGCTTCCCGTCAGGATTGAGGTTTAGATATCAATGCTTGAAGAGGGTTTGAAAGCCCTCACTTCGGTGAAAATCATAGTACAGGCATGCAGGGACTAGGAATTACCTTCTGAAACCAGAAGAAGTCACTAAAACGGCCTTTGCGTTGTGTTTGCTTGATCTGCCACTCCGTGATAGGCGGCGGGAGCCCGTTGAATCAGGCAACGGCCACACCAAAAAGCCAATGCTTTCGCGTTCAGGAGTCAGGGGTGTGGGCTTAGCATACGGTTAGCAGGTTTGAGGGCTCTCTCTCCTGTCTCCGTCTCTCTCTTTCTCTCTTTCTTTCTTTCTTTCTTTCTTTCTTTCTCTCTCTCTCTCTCTCTCGCTCTCTCTCTCTCTCTCTCTCTCTCTCTCCATTGCATTGAGCCCGAAGTCTGAGGGTACACTCGCAACAAAACCGAGCAGGGCAGAAGTAAGGGTTTCATTCCTTGCATTTCCTTACGTCAAAGATTTGGAGGGCAGCCAGATGTCCCAAAATCCAAAGAATCGGTGATGGGTGTTCGGTCCCGATTGAAAACTGTATTCTCTTAGTATCTTAGCCCCTGCCCTGCATTGGGATGCCTGAACCGATAAGCCCTTTGGGGGTAGAAGACCTTCGAGGGGCTACTGTAGTAGGCTGGGTTTTGGGAAGGGCGTCCCTAAACCCTAAACCCTACACATCCTTAAACCCTACCTAAACCCCTAAGCCCCAAAGCCTAAACCCTAAACCCTAAACCCTAAACCCCAAAGCCTAAATCCCTAAACCCTACGTACGCCCCAGGCCCGAGCCTGAAACATGCAGCAGGTTGCGCTTCATATGAGCCACTCATATAGGAGCCTGACTAATTGGTTTAGGGTTTAGGCTTACCCATGCTATGCTTTGGGGTTCCTTATTGTGGAAACTCTGTGATATACCAGTATAATATATCCCTAAACCCCGTGCTCACCATCCAATCACCTATATTATACCAATTCTACAGCTTCTGTAGGTTGAAAATTCGTACACCCCTGGTATAGGCTTACCCTCCTGCGCCAAACATGTACTAGAACAGACCTTTTTTAGGTAGGATCGTAATATAGACCCCATCATCGACATTATTATCGGGGTCCTGCAACAGAGCGAACCCTGGTAATTCGCAGTCTGAGTAAGTAGACATACGATCCCCGATTGTTCATGTATAGCATACTTCGATAGACCCTACAACCCTACTGTGGCTTGCGCAGTACTCCGTAGGTGACTCTAGGGGCCCATGTGCTCAAATGGTAACTAAACACGTTGACCGTACTTGCCAGTTGAAAAAGGAAAAATACTTGCCCTAAACTCTAAACCCGTGGTCTAGGTCAAGTATGCCCTGAACCCCTAAACCCTCAATCCTAGACCCTACGCCCCCCTGTGGACCCCCAGCTCCAATTCGTGCACCCCCGAGCTTCTCAAGGTCGTTGTCGCGGAAGTACTTTGAACGAAGTAGTAAATTTAGGAGCTTTAGGGCTAAATATAGGGGCCTTAATAATTAGAATAGGGCTTGGGGGGTATCTTATTCCAATAATTATAGTAAGGAGCCCCCAACACCCTATTCTAATTTTTCAGGCGTCTGCATTAGGGTTGAGGGCCAAAGTTAGTGCAACCGAGGGTTTGGCGTTTAGGGATTTCAGGGGTTTCAGCAACCGGGTGCCATCTCGGGCACCAAGGCGAAGCGCCGAACCCTGAAACCTGCAAGTCTTAGGGTTCCCAGAGAGCCCAATACCCCTTTAATAAGGAATATGCCTTAAATTTAAATCATAAGAGTATGGCCCCTATAATATGAGGTATATTGCTTAGTTAAGGGGTATTGACTTGTGGATAAACCATAGACCCTCAAACCCGGAAATGCTGGAAGCGGCGATCTTTACCTCCCGACTCCCTTACAGTACATAGCCCTTCTTAGTAACCTGTGTACTAACCGTTATCACGCTATGCTGAGCCTTGTACTAACCTGTAAATGACCCGTCTAGTGACCCTGAACCCTAAACCCACTTCACGGTATCGGATGCGGGCAGTAAGAAGGAGCTCAAAAAAAGACCCTAAACCTATGTCATAGTTGGGTAACATTTTACATTTTTAAGGGTACTTAAACCCAATAAGGAATATAAATTTAGATTTTTAATACTACCCCAACCATGAACTAGAAACCCATGGCTCAGGTGTGCTGGAAGACCGCCAGGCCATTCGCGAGATCGTCTCTCGCGAGGACTGGGTTCGGGTTTGTAGGGGAGCTAAAGCAGGCCCACGTGTTTTTGCTGTGTTTTAGAGTTGTTCGAAGTCGTACTGGGTATCGGTTCATCACATGGTTACTCCTTAACCCAAAACCCTAAACCCTAAACTGACTTGCAGGTTTCTGAAAGAATGGGCGTAGTACAGCCCTCCGTTTGGGACCAAAGTAGGAGGTTCGGACCTTCACTTGTTAGGTTTCCCTTGGGGCTAGGCACATGCATGCATGGAGCTGGCAGCCAGCTGCGGCCACTGCTTCAGGGCTTGCTGGATTGCTCGAGACCCTCCCTTGTCGTGGCTGCTGGAGCTCAAGGTCGCAGAGTGCAGTCCTGAGGATTTTTATGAAGCCGTTCTTGTGATCGCCAGTCCTTCGTTCACCTCTTGATCCGCTGGGCCGAGATTGGTTTCGAAGCCGGCGGAGGCTAACGATATTGTGAGGCTGGAACTCAGTGCCGCCTTTTCCTCAGCAAGGCGCAGTTGATGTGACCGAGGCATAGTTTATGAGGTTTATTCAGAATTCAACCATTTTGCGTGCGCTCAACATGCGCAAGGTTCAATTCACGTTGCTGGAAGAGCACTGGGGCGGGCTCTGGAAGCTCTGCCCAACCAGAGATGCAGTGACGCTCTGGTTGCCGCCAGAGACCTGGCGACGTGATCAGGCCTCAGGAAATAAAGGTTTAGGCTACCTCAACAGTGAGGGTGTAGGGTTTAGGGTTTAGGGTTTAAGGTTTAGGGTTTAGGGGTTTAGGGTTTAGGGTGCAGCACGCTCCTGGAAGCAGGATCAAGCTCTAGCCCCAAACCTTACAAGACAGTAGGTCGTGACTCCATCACGACTGGATCGACCGTTAAAACAGAACTAGGCTGTTGGCAAGCCCGCCCCCTCGCCTGGTGCTCGTCGCAGCGGCGGCGTCCTGACGCTGGTGCTGTCTGCCACGTGGATCCGTGCGCAGGCTTCGAGTCCGCCACGCAAATATGGCATGCTCGGGGAGGTCGTCGCTCGCCGGACCCTGGACTATGTTGTGTATGACAACGCCTGCATGCTGCGGCGATTTGTTGCTAACAAAGTCTCCAAACTCCCGTCAGGACTGGGAAAGGATCTGAGCCAAATGCACTACGTGCTTGACCGGTTCCACGAGAAAGGGCATAAAGCTTGCCTCAATCCTACACATCGCCTCTACGACCCACTCGTGCGGCTCGCTGTGCATCCTCGCTTGCAGTCCCTGAACTCGTCACAGAACGACCAGTGGAACAGTTGGGCCGACAACTCCGTGCTACCTATAGTCTCAGTGCAGTTCCGTTTCTGGGGTTTCCTATGGGAGCCAAGACAGCAGGTTGGTTAGACCAAAAAGGAAGTTACAATGGGGACCCTAAAGAGTAAACCCGAAACCCCGAACCCTAAGCCCCGAACCCAGAACCCCAAACCCTAAACCCCTAAACCCTAAACCCCAACACACTAAACCCTAAACCCCTAAACTCTACAGTCTAGCACACTAAACCCTAAACCCCTAAACTCTAAACCCTAACACACTAAACCCTAAACCCCTAAACTCCAAACCCTAACACACTAAAGCCTAAACCCTAAAGCACTAAACCCTAAACCCTGTAGGTTCCTCTCTATGAAGTGGTTGGATCCGCGGGAGCCCTGTACTTGGATGCCCTGCCTCTCCTCGGATGTAATGTAGGGGCCTTAATGATCAGAATAGGGCTCCTTTAAGGGGTTCGCTTTTAGGGTTACGGTTTAGGGCTTAGGGCTAAGGGTTTAGGGTTAAGGGTTAATAAGGGTTAAGGGTTTAGGGTTTAGCGGCCTTAATAATTAGAATAGGGCTCCTTTAAAGGGATCCTTCAAGGGTTCTATAAGGGATCTATGATAGGGTTCTATAGTAGGGGCCTTCGTGATTCGAACAGGGTTTTGTTGGGGTTCCTTATTATAATTATAGTATAGAATACCCCCGAACCCTATTCTCATGATTAAGGCTCCCACATTAGCTTTCTTTCTGAGTCTTTTGTGGGGTTTAGGCTTTAGGGTTTAGGTTACGTATAATAGAGTTTACGGTACAGGGTTCCGGGGCTCTTAGGGTTTAGGGCATAGGGGTTTAGGATTTAGGATTCGTGGTTTCGGGTTTAGGGGGCGTGTTTAGGACTGAAGGTATGTTGTTTAGGGTTTGAATTTAGGGTATAGGGTGGGTTTAGGATTTAGAGTTCAGGGTTGCGACGTATTTGCACCTGCGCTGGTTATCCGCGTGCAAATACCCCTCAACCCTGAAACCGCAAACCCAGAAACCCGCCCAAACCCCCAACCCTTGACCGGTAAGGTTTCCGAGAGGCGATCCCCCTTAAAGCTGGTGTACACAACCGGACATGTTGGCATTTTGGACCTTGCCTTGTCGTTTGATACGTGTATATGTATATAGGTATATATATATATACATACATATATATATATATATATCTCTCTCTCTCTCTCCTGATGTAGAGGCCTGAATAATCGCGCATGGGTTCCTTATACTTATTTGTTATTGTAAAGGAGCCCAAACCGTATTTCTTACGGCCCCTACATTGCTACAGACGTTTGACACTCACCGCGCTTGCTGAAAGAACCAGCCTGTCATCTTCGAAACTTCAAACGAAAGCTTAACTTAGTAGTCGAGTAGGTAACCTTAAACCTTTAACCCTTCGGGGGTATTATGACCCCTACATAATCTCCAAGGTTAACCCTTGGCTCCACCACGTTAGTATTCTTTTCAACATGGAAATATCAACTCAACCCTAAACCCCTAAACCCTAAGCCCTAAATATCAGCTCAACCCTAAACCTTAAACTCTAAACCCTAAACCCTAAACCCTAATCCCTATCAGCTCAACGCCCTAAACCCTAAGCCCTACACCCTAAACCCCAGGGGAGAGCACTAAGAGACGCAGGCTGCAGAGAAGGACGACGTTTTGCAGAAGGTGCCACTCCGTACGCCTTGCCCAGACCCCCGAGAACAGTTCCTTTTAGGGTCTAGGGTTTAGGGTTTAGGGGTTTAGGTGTTGAGGGTTTTAGGGGTTTAGGATTTAGGGTTTAGGGTCCCCAGACCCCCGAGAGGATCCAAAAAGTAGATCCCTTCATGGGGGTTCCTAGAGCCTTTAGTAGTGTAGGGTCCCAAATTAGGGGTTCTACTTTCTAGATCCTTCCTGGGGTCTGGGTAAAGCCCTAAGCGAAGTTCGGTGATAACCCTAAACCCTAAACCCTAAACCCTAAACCCTAAACCCTAAGCGTTTCAGAATTGGGAAGTCATGCCGAAGCCTTAAACACAAAACCCTTGAACCGCTTCGCTGCCGCAATTCATTTAGGGTTTAGGGTTTAGGGGTTTAGGGTTTAGGGTTGTTTTTTAGGGCTCTTTAAAATATCTATACTGCCATATACCCCAAAACAGATCAAGACCCTATTCTCATTATTAAGGTCCCTACGTTACGCGAAGCGGCTTTCGCTGTGCGATGTTGTCCTTTGTCGTCATCGGCTACTGCTACACGCAGGACTTCCGTCTAGCTACTGTAGAGCGGTTTTAGGTCGTGTATGGGCTTGAGCTCATTGCCGCATTGTTTCAATGGCTAAACCCGAAACTTAACCCCAAAACCTTGCAATCGTTTCGGGTTGTAGCAGGGATTAGCCCTAAACCCTAAGCCCTAAACCCTGGACCCCTAAGCCCCTAGACCCCTAAGCCCTCAACCCCGAAGTTTTCGACCTTGCGTGCCTCACACCTCAACAGCAACACGTACCCAGACCTTCAAAATTCCCTCAATTCAGGCTTACCTTACCCTGAAACCCTAAACCCAAAGCCCTGAAACCCTAAACCCAAAGCCCACAACCTGGAACCCCAAGTGGGAATTCTTCAAGCTTCTATCTTAAGCGAGGGTCACTGCCTCCCTTCAGGCCGAACAGCAGGCTTGAGAGCTTCGAAACCTTACCCAGACGACTGACTGCAAGAGACAAAGATGTCAGGTCGCTTCGTGGCTCGGGGTTTAGGGTTTAGGGTTTAGGGTTTGGTCAGGGTTCATTGATTTTGCAGAGGGAGCTTAGACTTAGACTATAAGCTGTGAGGGCTGAGGCTGAACAGGAAGCAGTGTGTTGCAGTTCAACATGTCATTTGAAAACCCTAAACCCTAAACCCTCAACCCCTCGACCCCTAAACCCCTAAACCCCTAAACCCCTAAACCCCTAAACCCTAATCCGACCCTGTCGCTCTTCGCTGGATCCTGGATCTAGCATGTTATATATGTGTGGCTGTGTTGTTTAGGGTTTAGGGTGTTTAGCTACAGTCTCTTCTTTCCCAAAACCCCAAACCCCCTAACCCGAAACCCGAAGCCCGAAGCCCTAACCGTAAACCCCTAATCCTAAACCCTACAAGCCCTACTCCTAAACCCCTTACCCCAAGCCCTGTAAGCCCTAAGCCTAATACCCTAACCCTAAACCCGCTAAGCCCTAAAACCTCTTCAGCCTCCAACATCTGGATCTGGGGCTTGCCAATCCTGCATCTCTGCTTTAGGGTTACCAGGGTTTAGGTATTAGGGTGTCAGCCCTTATACTGCGGGTCCATGTGCCCAAATAGTATATGGATAGTTCACCAAACTAGGTTCCCGTTTAGGGTCCTCTTTAAGGGGGTGCCGTGAGATTTCGGGGACCCGAAGAGGGACCCTAATTTAGAGAGCTACCCATATACTTCGATCCCAAAGTACCTGCATACAACCTACTTCAAGGCCACAGCATCTATTTGGGTACATGGACCCTTAGCAATGAATGCAGGAATCCCAAACCTATGTGAGCTGGACGTAAAAGCAGAGCCTTGCAATGCGAACTATCCATCTATCTGTCCTGTCCACCATACTTGGAGGCCCAGGGGACTTAGTAAGTAGGTTGTAAGTAGAGTTATAAGTACCCTAAATGGAGTTACCCTACTTGTAATCCTACTTATAACCGAATTACTAAGTCCCCTGGGCCTCCAAGTAGGCTTTGGGGTTATGTTGTGCTTTTGTCTTTTACAGTTGTGTGTATGTATGTGTATACGAACATGTGTACCTAAACGCATGCATGCATAATACACGCGTATCTACACCCTAAACCCTAAACCCTAAACCCTTAAACCCTAAACCCTAAACCGGTCATTCGGCCAGTCCGCAGAGAGAGGATCGTCAGCTCCCTCGGCCGCCTAGACGCTAGAAAATTTCATGTCGCTCTGCCCTGAAGCGCAAAGCACTAAACATATTATAGGGTTTAGGGTTTAAGGTTTGGGGTTTAGGGTTTAGGGTTTAAGGTTTAGGGTGGAATATGTTTAAAGCCTGCTGAAGCTGTGAGCTTGGCTCTCAATGGACACGAGCAGCAGCAACTTGAGACAGACACGGCACGGCAATGTTTAGGTTCTGTATTTGGGTTAAGGGCTGTCGGTGTTTACGTTCTGTATTTGGGTTAAGGGCTGTTTGAGGCGAGTGTCTGCGTATGATGGAGCTTGAGGTCGGTTCTTTTTTAAGGTGCGGGTATCGGATTCAGAGGGCGCCGAGAAAGGTCTGCTTCCAGGAGGTTTCGGAAATGCTTTATATGATGGTTTCAATGGCATCAGTTCCATAGTTATTTTTCCCTAAACCCTACACCCTAAACCCTAAACCCTAAACCCTAAACCCTACACCCTAAACCCTACACCCTAAACCCTATATTCGGTCAACGGACTTGTACCCTCAGCCCTAAAAGCCCACGAATCCGAAAGCCTAAGCCCGAAGAGCGAAACTCCAGGCCCTAAACCCTGAATCTCGAACCCTACACCCCAAAGTCTACGCTCTTGACCGTTTCTGATAGTATGTTAAGATTTCTTATAGGTTCTTATGAGTTCTTTTAATCTGAATCATACAGCTTCTTGTAGTTTCTTATGGCTTCTTACAGTTTCTTACAGTGTCTCATGGTTACCCTAAACCCTAAACCGTTCATAGTTTCGGACTTTTCGCTTGCGGTTCCTCTGTAATGCGTTTGCTGTCCCAGCCATGGTTGACCGCAACCTGCGGGAGGCAAGGTTTGCCTGGTTTAGGGTTTAAGGTTTAGGGTTTAGGGTTTAAGGTTTAGGGTTTAGGGTTTAGGGTTTAGGGTTTAGGGTTTAGGAGTTGTGTTTACTGTTTCGTTATGGTTTGGAGAATACTACTTCGTAGTGTTTGAGGCGGCAAGTACGGCTTCAGCGGCCGAGGTCCGGCATCAGGCACCTTAAGGATTCCATAAGTAATGCAGCTCTGCGTAGACCGAGACTTGCGGTGGAGGCTGCTGGCCTCGCTAGGGGCTGGCACGCCACGACCTTCCTGGACAGTATCAGTATCCTGCAGCTCGTCATAGCCCTGTGAACTGGAGTTCCCCAAACCCTAAACTCTAAAAGACCCTATACACCCTAAACTCTATAAACTATAAACCCTATAAACCCTATAGACCCTAAACTCCTAAACCAGAAGACATGCTGCAAAGTTTGGGGTGGCTCTACAAGTTGGTATTTCCCCCCAAGCTCGCTTCCCCAACGGCTTTCTTGCAAAACAGGACTGAGCAAAAGCAACGCGAAGTGAGCCATACCCGGAAAGCCACTCACAAGGCTTAGGGTTTCGAAAAACATGGGACGCGGATATCGTTTCCGACAGGTGTCGCACCGCTAGGTCCGCTAGGCCACTGTGGTGGAAGTTCGTCTTTTTCGATGCGTTGTGAGTTACGTTCCAATATATAAGACTCTCGGCATAGGTGCTGACAGTCTTCCCTCATAGTCCAGATATCATTGTACTGTATTAATTAGATTGTATCCGAAGACACTGTTGCAAGTATTTGGTGAGCTATATTCTCAGACCCTCCAGTATACAAGTAAGGAATTTCCTTTAATTCATAGCATGATCCCCATATGGTTCAATTCCTTAATTAGAAACGGGATTTTGGAAAGTCTGGGTTACCCAGTTGCGCAGTGCCTTCCCTAGGGCCAGATCTGCCTTGCCGGGAGTCTTTCGGGCTATGCGGCTAGTTCTCTAAATTAGGGTGGCATGCTGTGGGAGAATTACGCCGTGCTGGAAATTGAAACCCATGCAGGTTCAGCTCCCTTAAGGTAGACAGGTTTGATGTGTTTCGGATCCCTAAACCCTACCTGTAGCCGGAAAGCCTACCTTTTTAGGCTTCCTTATTTTGGTTTCTGAATATAGCTCCTTAAAAAGGTAGGTCTATTCGGTTACAGGTAAACGCATTTCTGACTCTCGGATTCTGAGTTTTGAGGTTTCCAGGGTTTAGGTTGCGTCACGCCCCCGAAAACTACCATCCTGTTGTACCGCTGTTGTGGCTTCGTGGCGGATCAACCCACACAGGGTTGAGAGCTTCAAAGGTGTAGTTCAAATATTATTTGAGAACCCCGCGATCTGGATTCATACTGTCCTGCTAAATGATCATTAACTTTCTGTCTGAAACCCCCACATCCCCAAACCCTAAATCCCTAAACCCTAAGTCCTTGAACCCCTTAACCCTGAACCTGTTGAATCCTTCATCTTCTGTGAGGCCCCAGCAGATGAAATTGCTGCTCTGGCATATCAGGTGCCTGCCATGTTAGAGACCGGACAGGGTTGCATAGTGCTTAGGGTTGGGGGTTAAGGGAAACCCTAAACCCTAAACGCTAAACCCTAAATACTAATAGGGTGAACCTTAAGGCTCCGAAGGGTCTTGGGCTTCTGCTCTCGGGGTTTGGGATCTCACCACAAGGGTCCCGGAGCCTTAGGGTAGAACTTCGGTTTGGAGTTTCGAGCTTCAGGCTTTGGGTTTAGGGTCCCTAAAATATGGCCATGATGACCACAATGCTGACGATGGTCAACATCACCCCTGCGATGCTGAAACCCTGAGACCCTTAAACCCTAAACCGAGCTGTCGAGTTGCTGGGCACCAGAAAGTTTTCCAGTCGTAGTGTCCAGCTGGGTGCGTGGAGGAGAGGACCCGTCAGCAAAACAAACGGAAAGTAGATGCGCATGATCGGGATTAGAGTTTCGAGAAGTTTCGGGGTTTAGGGCGAGGGTTTAGGGCTGACTGCATATGCATGACCATAAAGTTCTGCCACTGGCATGCTATCGATGATTGAGAGACTTGCGAGCCAACTGCAAGTCGTAATCCTTGATATATTTCTCCTGGCGATGAATTCATGTTCACTGTCTTTTGCTTGTAACACCCCCAAGCAGAGTCAAGGTAAGACTTGAGGGATCAGGGATCCTTGCGCTAGGGTTTAGGACTTTAGGCTTTAGGAGGATTTTCCAACCCTACACCCCTAAACACTAAACCCCTAAACCCTAAACCCCAAAACCCCTAAACCCTAAACCCCCCTGCCCTAAACCCCTAAACCCTAAACCCTAAACCACCCTAAACCCCTACTTCCTTGCACCTCTTCTTTTTCTCGTCCGGCAAGGCCCTCTAAGCTCAGGATTTTTTGTGTGCACTTCAACGATGAAGCTCCTTGCTTTCGATCGCAAAAGGTCCCTTTTAGGGTTCCTTGAAGGGTTCCTTTAAGGGTTCTATATTATATGGGCGTTCAAGTTGAGGGTTTAAGGGTCCAAGGATGATTATCGTAGGCTCTTAGTAGATACTTGGGCTAGATACTATACTGTTACTTGGACCCCTTGGGAAGGACTTGAGCTCACCCACCTTGGCGAATTAGGTTTCCAGTCGCCTGAGTAATAGGTTGCTCACTCATCCATGTTTTCCCCCCAGTTCCCCAAACCAAACCCCAAACACCAAACCCTTGTAGAGTCTATGAATTCCAAACGCCAAGTCCTTAACCACAAAACCCCAACCTAGACGCACCGCCCCCCCCCCCAACTAAACCCTAAACCGCAAACTTTAGGTAATCTAGGGGCTTCAAAAATTACCTATACTACTTTGGGGCTTCCTTACTATAATTATGGTATAATGTACCCCAACACCCTATTCTAATTATCAAGGCCCCTATGTTACCGTATGTGTCGAAACTGCTCCAGGAGTTCCAGGACCAGAAGATGACTTCCTCGGTTTATCCAGGCCTGATCCCTGAGGGTCCATCCTTTAAGTGTTCCTGAGGGGTACCATAGGTCTAGGGTTTGAGGGTCCATGTACCCAAATAGGTTCCTTTAAGGGTTCCTGAAGGGTACCACAGGTCTGGGATATGGCGTCCATGTACCCAAATAGGTTCCTTGAAGGGTTCCTGAGGGGTACCATAGGTCTAGAGTTTCGGGGTCCATGTACCCAAATCGTAGATGCGTTGGCCTGAAAGTAGTTCGTATCTAGGTACTTTGGGGCCAAAGTACAGACTGTTTGGGTACGTGGACCCTTAGGGTACCTGTAGTTTGAGGCCTAAAGTCCAAAAATGGTATGATTTGGAGTCTTAAGGGATGTACAATGCTTTTGGGGCGCCATATAGAGCTTAGAGCCCACCATTCAAAACTCTATGTATTGCGGGGATCTGAAGATTCTCTTGGCGATCGAGGAAGAACTGCGCATGTGACAACATACCTATAGTCTCCATTGTAGTTCCTTTTCTTGGTTTAACCAATTATATATTAAGGAGTTTAAAAGGTATCCCCAAAAAGGAACTACAATGGAGACTATAGGTATAACTCTAACGCCACATGGGACCCTAAACCCTAAACCCTACACCCTAAACTGATTGCTTCACAGGGTTTTTTGTGGTTTGAAGGCCGTAACCCTGAGAGACCGCAATGGTTGGCTGATATAACTCCTTCGAAAGGTATGTTATTTGGGTTAGGGGGGTAGGCCTTAGAACTTAGACTGCATTTGTTCCGTCGAGTGGTAGAGATAATTCGGTTTTGAATACGGTTGCGTTTCGGATGTCTTTGGTGTTTCACAAGGGTTGCGATAATGGCCCTAGAAGGGTTCCATAGCCTCGAAAGATTGAGGAGTTGGTTAAAGCAAACGTTAAACCCTGAACCCTAAGTTGGTCTTGCGGGTTGTCTTGTCGGGTTGAGTGGCTTTGAGGGTATATTCCTTAATTCAGGGGTATTGGGTTCTCTGGGTTAAAAGGGCTACGATAAGGGTTCCTTCAAGGGTTTTTTTTAGGGGTATATGAATTAGGGGCTCCGGGATTTCAGGGGTTCGGGATCCTAGTGACTAGGGTTTAAGGGGCTTAGTTTTGGGGTTTAGGGTTTAGGGTTCATACTAAACCCTAAACCCTAAACCCTAAACCCTAAACCCTAAACCCTAAACCCATGTCAAAGGAACCCGGCGCTTAATTTACGGTTCTTGCCCCTCTCTTGCGAAACTCTCCCCAAACGTGTTGAACATGTTCTTAAAAGTCCAGCAGTGCACCAAAACAACCCCTAAGCCCCACCCCTAAACCCGAAACCCTAAGTCCCACCCCAAAACCCTAAGCCCAGAGCTTTGTGGCTTCTGGGCTTTCGGGCTTTGAAGGGGCTTTAGCGAGGTTAGGCGTTTAGGGCTTTCGGTTTGGGGTAATGGAGGCTGCTAGGGGCTTTTAGGGGTTTAGGCAGGGCCTGTTGGCTTCCGGGTTTCAGGGCTTTCGGGTTTAGGGGTTTAGGGTTTAGGGTTTAGGGTTTTAAGTTTTTGAGTTTATAGAGCATTGTAAAGCTTGATAGAATTTTACGTCCGAGGTGTTGAATTTATTGGTTTTAGGATTTAGGGTTTAGGGCTTCGGTTCGATTCGAGTTGTGTGGGCTTTGAGGTGAGTGGCCCGAAGTGCAAAGAAGCCCTAGACCCCCCTGCTCCACTTCATGTACATGGGTGCTGTTAATTAGAATTCGCATCTGCCGTGCATTATAGTATGCTCATAGGGGGACTACGGTAATTATTCAATCGCTTTTGCTACTCCAGCTTCGGATCCAAAGTGGTTTCGCGTTTAGGGTTGGGTGAAGGTGCTGGCTTTAGGCAGAAATCCCCAAAAGCATTGCAGGGTTGATTCCCATCCCCCTGCCCCCTACGGCCCTCGTCCAGCAATTCTGATGTGTGTTTGAGCCTTACAATACTTGGAGGCTCAGGGAGTGCCCTAACCGTGCTTATCCCGATTGTAACTCTGACAGTAATTTATATACTTAGCAAGACTTGGTTACCTCCATGATGCTGCAAGCACAAAACCTCGGTTAAACAAAAACGCTCCACAACCAGAAAGCCATCGGTCAAGCCGCATACAAATCTAACACGTTTCAAATCCCGAAACCCTACCCCTAAACCCTACCTATAGGGGCATCCCCTACCCCCCCCCCCCTTTTTTAAGGTACCTACTTTTTTATCCAACAAGTCCTAACCATAAGCCTAGCTACCTTAAAAAAAGGGGTAGGGTATGACCCTTTAGGTCAAGCCCCCTCATTCCTAAAGCCCTGGTGCAGCCTTGGGCGGCTACACCTCGTCGTCATCGAAAGAGACCTTCCCGAAGGTCCATCTCAGCTTGATAGCATGAAACAGGGTTTAGGGCTTAGGGTTTAGGGTTTAGGGGAGTCCATCTCAGTTTGATAACATGAAGCTTGTGTTTCTTGATTTATCTGTGGTTTTGGTTGAGTTTTGTGTTTTGGAGGTGGGTGAAGGGGGGTTGTATTGATCTTGCATATGTGGTAGAGTAGTATAACCCAGTCTAGACTAGTCACTACACTGAGGCAAATAGAATGTGTGTTGACAGGTCTGCTTCTCAACTCGACCAGAGTGCAAAGACGCCACGAAATTGACGGTGCCCTTAAAGCTTCAGTCGACGAGGGTGGTGCCACCCCGCCCAGACCTATTCTACTTAGACTGAAGACTGTCGTGAGCGCACCGCAATGCAGGGATGTCTGTATAGGATTCCGGGTGTGGTGTCAGGGCTTCTAAGCATAAGGAGCCAAGAGATCCTAAATTGTAGGATCCTTGTTCTGAGGGCTCGACATTTAGGGTTTAGGGTCTAGGAATTTCAAAGACCCGCAGGTGGTTCTGGTAGACGAGTTTGAGGGCTCGGGGCCTTTCATACTTGAACTTGAGGCTTTGAGAACCATAAACCCTAAACCATAAACCCTAAACCCTAAACCGAAATTGGGGGGCTTGTGAGGACTTCTGAGACTCCGTTCACACCCCACCAAAGGCAACACCCAAACGCAAAATCCACGTCCGCCCTGAATCCGACAAGGCAAAATTTAAAGCCCTGAAAGGGATTCAGTCAAGCACCGCAAGCGGCTTAAGTTCAAGCCTCATATCGTTCAAGCATGCGGCTTCCAATTGCTATGGCTTTGGGGCTCTGCAGAGAGGTTTCAGGGAAACTATTGGTCAGATTGCCGCACGGGGTTTAGGGTTTAGGGTTTAGGGGCCTTTGCAAGGATTCAATAGGCTTGTTTACGGGCCTTGGGGAGCTTCGGGATGCTGGAATCTCAGAGAAAGGCTTTGTCAAGGGTGCTCAGGGCATCACAGCGCGATGTCGATCCTACAAGCTACGTCCCTAAATCTTACCCTAAACCCTAGGCCCTGAACCCTAAATATCTCAGCTATCATCACTGTTTGAAAGGCTTTGGGCCTGGGAGTTTGGGGTCTCGCGAGTGTGTTGGAGGACTTGTGTTTACCTAAACCCCTCAAGTAGCTAGAAAAATGGCCCAAAACCTCTAAAAGGCTATTGTTCTACATACTTTGGGGGGGTTCAAGTTCCGAGGCATTTGTAAAGGGTTTTAGGGTGTGGGGTTTTAGTGTCCTTATGGTTTAGGGTTAATCGGTATAGGGTTCAGGGCTTTGGGGTTGAGTCATTGGGGGTTTAGGATTTAGGACTTTCCGGGCTTCATAGGCAAACCCTCACAGTACCAAGCTCAAAATTTCAAAAGTACGCAAGATTCGAACGCCTGAACCCGAGTTAATGTTAGTGCAGAGGGAGTTCGTAGAAGCAGGGCTTTGTAGGAGGGGTAATATAGGGGCCTCAATAACTACCAAAACTATTTTGGGGGTTCCTTAATAGAATCATACTATAAAGGACCCCAAAACACCATTCTAATTATTAAGGCCTCTGCATTAGGGTGCGTGCGAATTAGATGCGACTAATTTACCCTATAGATCCTAAACTCCCCACCTGTAGTTTCCTTTAACTATTGTGGCCCATTGAGGCGCATTGACGCGAATTTGAGGCCCATTGGCCCTCAAGGGGCCACGACAGGTCCGATAGGTTTTATGCAGCCCCTGAGGGGGTTCCACTGACGGTGTCCCCTTGGAGGCTCATAAAGAATAGTATAGGGGAACATTGTGTTTAAGTATCTTGAGGGTGTTGTGACTGCAGATGTAGCTTCAAGAGCTAGCAAGTGCCAGCAGCTGTGCAGGTCCTCAATACCAGTGCCATGCCGACATCCACTGAAGGCAGGTCGGTCGGTCGGTTGGTAGGTGGGTGGGTAGGTAGGTAGGCAGGCAGGCAGGCAGGTAGGTAGGTAGGTAGGTAGGTATAGGTAGGTGGGTGGGTAGGTAGGTAGGTTGGTCGGTCGGTCGGTAGGTAGGTAGGTAGGTAGGTAGGTTGGTAGGTAAGTAGGTAAGTAGGTAAGTAGGTAGGTGGGTAGGTAGGTAGGTAGGTAGGTAGGTAGGTAGGTGGGTAGGTAGGTAGGTAGGTAGGTAGGTAGGTAGGTAGGTCGGTAGGTAGGTGGGTAGGTAGGTAGGTAGGTAGGTAGGTAGGTAGGTAGGTAGGTAGGTAGGTAGGTAGGTAGGTATTTACATACATACACATACATGTATAAATCTTTTGATATTGAAAGCGGTAGCTAATG